CTCTATTATTATTCACTGGGTTTTCGCTCACAGTTTATATTATGTATGTAGGTGAGCCGGCACACGACCAGGGCTAGAGTTAACGGCCTTCTTTCTGTTTTGTCAGCCAACTGTTGCGCTTCCCGAGGAGGTTCCAGTCGAAGTCTAATGTTATGGTTGTTTTTGTATTCATGCTAGTCTCTGTATGTGTTTTGTAAGGACAGGTCTTGGGATGTAATACTTTGTAAATATTGGTGTCCTTGACTGGCATGCTTATGTATATATATAAGTTTTGAAGTGTTCTGTCCCATGTATGTTATCAGAGCTCATTGGACATTGTCTATTTTGTATTATTGCTTCCGTAGCCCCTCATTATTTGCTAATCTGTTCAGAGGCCTTTGGTAATCCACAGATTACTGGCCGGTTACGGTGCCAAACCTATAGGCGCGGGTTTGGGTCGTGACAAAAAATTTGGCCAATTTCCCTGACTATGGCATTCTCAAAATTTTCGTCCCACTCTGGGGTGTGTTTTTTACTTTATTCCCATTATAAGGTGAAACGGTCTTCCTAAAGCCGTTTTCTGTAAAACAGTTTTGCCAATGCATTTTTGGAGAATAAAAAAATAATAAAATTTTCCTTCACAAAAACAGTTTTTGAAAAACCGGTTTTACTTAACGTTTAATTAATTTTGAGTTTATAGAAAACGGTTTTTCTAAAGCCGTTTTTTAGTAATTTTATTTCCCAATATTTTTCAACATAAATATAAATTGCCATAAATAATGTAATTCAAAAAACGAGTTTCCTAAAACCGCTTTCTAATACGGCTTTAGTAAAGTCGTTTTTATTATATTTTTTATTTTTATTTATTTATTTATTTTGTCTCCGTTTTGGGTTAGAAGGTGATATATATTCTCCACAGTTCGAAGGACACCCACACACTTTGTACTTCGACAAACAATGACGAAGGGTGAGACGCGAAGAGCACCGCGAAGGAGGCCAGGAAGACGAAGGCCATCGCGAGAGCTGTAGCAAGAAGGAAGAAGAGAAAGACCTCAAAACATCGTCGCACCTCTCCCTTCCATCATCAACATTGAGGTTTGTTTTGGACAAATTAGCGTTTACATTTTTGAGTGGGGAATTTAAAGTTCAAAATTAGTTTTTTAATGAAACTTCAGACATTGACAGTAGATTGTTTAGGCTGTCATATCTGAGATTGTAGTTGTACCCTGGCCCTCATCCTCTGAACCCCAAGCAACGGTTGTCTTGGACTGCAATAGGTGTTATTTTTGTTGTGGTCTAGTAGAGAGATTATCATGTTTCTGTGCTGCATTGGCCCCCCTACCGGACCGCCGAATTTCATTTTATTTCAGCCCCCAATTTCTGATTTTTGTGAAGCACCCATTCCTTTCCAGAACTGAGGTGTCACCGAACCATCCACTTGCCTTTGAGATTGTTTTTTCAGCCCCCAAATTTTGGTTTTTGTGAACCCCCCATTAGTTGACTTCCTGTCGCTGTGGTCCTCATTCTGACTGGACTTCGAGGAATTGAATGGTGACTGTTAATGCTGTCCTGATGGAGAGGCCCAGTGAAGGGAGGTTTTTGACAGAGCTGCCTATTCTATTTGGTTTGCCTTTATTGTGGGCACTTCGTCTGTCTGAAATTTATTAGTCCCCTACCTGGACCAACCACTTGGCTTTGAGCTTGTTTCTCCAGCCCCCAAGTTTAGTTTTTTGTCAACCCCCCATTCCGTAATAAAGTCGTCATCCTCATTGTACTTGCCAGAATTCAATGGTGAGTCTATCTTCTTCAGTTTCAGAGAATGAAATTTTGTACCCAAACCATCACTATTTGAAGAAGCCTAGTTAAGGGAAGCTCTTGACTAAGCTACCTGTTCTGTTTTCTGTGTCGTTGAAGAGGGCACGTCACCTGTTTGAACTGTATTACCCTCCCCAACTGGACCAACCACTTGGCTTTGAGATTGTTTCTCCAGGCCCGAAATTGAACTTTGCTCTGGCCCTCTTCACTCGAACAACCCCAACCTCCTCTACTGGACCCCCAACCATTTGCCTTCGATGTCGTGTCGCCTCCCAAATTCTGTTTTTTGTCAACAGCCCACTCCTTGCTACCATTGGACTCACTGTTTTTATTAGAACTCCATATATTAGCAAGTGACTCATTCTCATGCTCGGTTTGAGATTGTATTTAAACTTTACTCCCCTCAGTATTGGAAGAACCCAAAGCAACATAAGTTTGTAACTGTTACCTATTTTATATATTCTGACTGGACTATATGAGCCCCCCAATTGGACCAATAACTTGGTTTGGACACCGTAGGCCCTGATCCCCAATTATCTGTTCTATCCACATGTCAACTGGGTTACGAGCTTGCAGAACAGGTTCATTTGTCATAGTTGTGAAGGAGTAATATGTGATTGAAGTTGCATAAGTTTTTATAAAGTTTATGTGTTAATGTAATTCTCAACGTCTTTTGATTTGTTTAAGCAATTGTGGTAGTTTGAATGAAGGTCCTTTTTGAGATTTGTAATGGTGTATGTTTCACAATTGTAATGGTGTATGCTTTACAATTGTAATGGTGTATGTTTGACAATTGTAATGGTGTACACAAGTAGATTGAATTGTGAAATTTGTTGTGGTGGGCTTACTTTCATTCCCTATAAGGTGTTTATATTCTTATATTTAATTCTTCTAACCCACTATTGAGGAACTTTAATAAAATGTAAACTGCACGACGTACATATTGGCCGAAGTGTGTTTGTTTTGGTTAAATCTTGTATCATTGGATATTTTTTGCTATATTTTCGCCAACAAGTAGTCAATTGTCACTCCATAGTTTGTAGTGTTGCGCTAAAACCCTGAAAATAATAATTTATTCTTATTTGAACCTTTTTATTTTTTGGTTGGCAATGAGTAGCACTTGGGTTCTTAAAGGATAGGCTGATTGTTGTCGGTTTGGACTAATGTCATTTTTAGGTTGTTCATGTTGCTAGGGAAGTACACAAGTGAGGGAGCTGCATGAAATTACGAACTCTTCTGAAAAGTGTAAATGACACTGAAATACTGTAAGATTTAGAAATAATACGCACTCAATTATCAATTAGATCGTAAGTAAAGTGCATTATTTCGATTACAACACTTACCCTCTTTATATCAACAATTTGTTAGTCATAAATAACGAAAATGATTACATTGAAATACGTAGCTTGTGTTTGGTTTAGTGGTGGACTTTTGAAATGTGTTTTGAAATTTATTTTGAAAAGAGTATTTGAACTTGTTATCTCCAATAGAGGCTTCAGTTTTGAAAAGAGTTGTGAGTTGTATTTTGAGTTGTCAGTTGTTCAATTTGGAGTTGTAGTTGAAAGTATTGGGATTTACTTTTTTGAAATATGACAACATGTTTCAAATGGAAATTTCAAAATTTTTAGTTTGGTAATATTTTTAAAAAAATAGGAAAAAGATGGTCATAAAAATATATAGTGATTTTGATATTTTGGAAGATAAATTTTTAAAAAAAATTTTGAGAAAAGAGTTTAGAAACTTTTCGGTTTGTTTGGTTGTATATTTTGGAAATAGTTTTGGAGTGTGAGAGTTTGGAATGATTTCATATTTTGTTGTAGTTGAGTACATGCGTGTGAGGGAAAAAGTATTTGTAGTTGAGTATTTATATTTAAAAAATTAGTAAATTTTACAAATATGTGCATTGATTTTTTACAAAAAGCAACTTTAATTAATTTTTTACAAACAAATTTTGGAACCAAGGGAACACAGGATAGACGGTGACAGTGTCCTCACTACCACGTGGACATCAACCTTGTGTATTTTATAAATATCTGTATGGACAGTTTGGTAAATTTACATTCCACCATCATTTGGAGAGATTTGATTAAAAAAAATTTAATTAAAAATTTACAGTAAAGGATAGCTGGAAAAAAATTAATTAAAAATTCCATTTGAATAGATTTGCCACATTTGGCCAAATCAATGTCATCATTAATTGACATTTTCTAATTCAAGTGGTAAATACATTATCAAATTACTAAATACTACTTTATTGAATAATACATTAACTGCAATTCAAAGAATGAAGCAAGTTGTGTGGCACTAATATGTAAACTAGACAAAAAAACTAATGTTGAATCGATCGGATTCTCGCTGGACATTTTCTCTTATCGTGACCTCTCTGCAAACACAAATTGCAATGGTGCATTCCACTTTGTCTGGTGGTATCCATTTCGTTGTGGATGCGGCTATGTTGAGGACGACCTGTTTTAAGCTCACGTTGTCGGTCTGGGATAGCGAGCAAAGTTAGGTAATCATCGTTTGGCCAATATTGCTCGTGCGGCATGGGCCTAAACTTCTGCGCGAATATACGCTTGTGGACTTCCAACCTATACTCCGATGCAACGAAAGAAAAAGGGTCCTCACCCAAGTCTGCTGTCACAGCAAGCATGTGGGAACATAGAAAGTAAAATAATATGTACTTCCTACATGAACAATGCGGTGGTCGAAGACTGACTATATGATGAGCACCACCTCCTATCTTATGCGATGCTATCCTGACCTTATATTCCCCTGTTCCCCTACAGATAAAATGTATGTATGTGGATTAATATTGAGGGTATGTTCAAATATAGACTAACATGAATGACCGATGAGTGCGAAATGATAATGTGTTGTGAATTCCGTGCATCCAATGAAATTTACCTATAAATCCGTACCAACATATGGACATTCGCTTTAGCTTGGTACTCGCCAATCCATCGTTGAACGTTAGTCGTGTACAAGTGACCCCGATTACTTGCATTTTCAGCAATGGTCCTGCCCTCGTCAAAATATTTGACGAGCCAATAAAAAGTTATCTCAACAGATGCTGTAATCGGGACACTACGTGCACCTTTGAGTACACCATTGAAGCCCTCTATATGGTTTGTCTTCAATATGCTACAACGAAAACCACCATCATGGCACAATGTCCAATGAATAGGGTTCATCCGACTAAACCACTATTCAGCATTCTTCTCTAGCTTGTAGATATCTACCATAATCTTGTTAAACTTCCGCACTTGCCGTGCAGAACCAGCTCTCCACACAAGATCCTTGGCTACTGTATTGCCGAATCTTTCATTGAAATTGCTACATACGTGTCGCAAGCAATACGTATGGTAGTCTCTTGGTTGCACTGCTGGATTGTCCCAAATTCTGGACACAACACTAAGCAAAGTCGTGTATCGATCGGATATCAATGTCACCCCCTCTTGGTCACGGCACACATGTCGCCGACGGAGAGTAATGAACCAATCCCAACTGTCGATTATCTCATTGTCAACAACGGCAAAGGCAAAAGGTATAATCTTATCTGCAGCAGTCACTACAGTGGCCGCAACAATCTTGCCTTCGTATTTCCCGTACAAGTGTGTGCCGTCAATGCATATCACTGGACGATAGTACTTGAAGCCTTCTATTGCTGGTTTAAATGCCCAGAACACATAGTTCATGTACATTTCAGTACCGATTGAGGTAGATTGCAATTTCGGGATCATGTCCCACATGACAACTATGCCTGGATTGAATGCCTGCAATGCAACCATATATCTAGGCAACCTTCGGTACGACTCGTCCCAGTCCCCAAACGCCATTGCAATAGCTTTCGTCCTAGAAAGCCACGCTTTCTTATATGATATTGTGAACTGAAACTTCTCTTTCACGACCTCAATTATGGTAGCAAGAGGTAATTCTGGTGATATCTACAAATATATATTACATTTCAATATAGTAAACACATACTTAAATCCTTAACAAATTATATCATGTTACTTACCGCAATTTGTCCCTTGATGAAATGAGCAATGAGATCGGACTTGAGGTTGCAATTGTCCTTATTCATTCTTAGGTACACACACTGATGCGGCACTTCAAACATTCTGATTTGAAAGAAATCTTTATCTTTCAACTTCGTTGCTCGAACCCTCCAGTTACAACCGTGCTTGCACTCAGACACCCAAATCTTTCTTTTGGATTCTATGACCTTGCATTCTCGATTGCGCTTCAAGTTATACAAATGAACAGCGTGCACTAAGCTTTTCTTATCACTAAAGATCATTCATTTCTTCAAATCAGCAGTTTCGGAGTCCCACAATGGCCAACGTTTGACAACATCGCGACTAGTGATGGAACCATCATTATCGAAATGCACATTATTATAGAAATGGATAATTGGCTGTACGTCCTGCATTTCATCATGCCCTTCAACTCCGCGTGACTGGGTTCATTGTCTTCACCTTCTTTTGCGCCATCGAAATCTTTCACGAAATCTTCATCACTTACTCTAGGCTCGTCATAAAATGGCACTATATCATTGGAGGTTGCGTACAATTGGGTTGCTGTCTCCGTTATACGTTCACCATTAAAAACTGTTGGACATTCTTTAGTCCAGTGGGTAGATGGGGTTGTACGAACCAGCGGATTAGACATTGTCGGAGCACTTGGACTTGCTCCGGTACTGTAACAACCATGAACATGCTCTGATGCATTGAAATGAGTGTAACTCTGAGAATAATTGAATGGAGGGTAATCTTGAGGGTACATGTGTGCAGACTGTATAAGTGTATTGTCGGGGGATTGCGATTGTGTCAACATTTGAGTGAATGTCCCTCCCACCGGAATTGGCATGTATGTGCCATCAACATTGCTCTCATTCTCCACATAGATTTCCAAATAAAATTCAGGACCATATTTCTATGGGAGATCTAAGACATTAGTTAATGTCTCATTATCATTGATTGGCAACAACCTATACTTCCCCCGACATGGGAGTCTACATTTGAACTTTACTCGCGTTTCCCGTACGTACCGACCTTGGGCACCATCATAGCCTCAAACTCGGCCAATGTTATCCCCCTATGTACATTGTACAACCCTTGCGCTTCTGTGTCGTATGACACACCTTCCTCGCGATTTCGCAAAATCTTTCCCCTCCCCAATAGAACATAATGCTAACAACTTCCATACGTAAACTGTGCATATAAACATTGTCAATTTTTGCAAAAGAAAAACGTAAGCACATTTGGGAATTTGATTTTCATGGTTGAACTGTTACTATATGACATTTGATTATAATGCCTGATAGAAAGCCGAAATTATAAAAGTCTTTATAATCGTCAACATACATATTGAACCCTATACATACACATGATAGGTTTCTGACACTATACAGACTCTATATATTCAAACCTATATTTATGCAAACTCTAAATAATAAATGCTCACAAATTCGTTTTACAATTCCCTTATAAAAATGCAAAAATATGTGACACGTCAAAGAAAACTGAACATAATGGCCAGATAAATCAGTTTATAGATGAAACATACAATATGAAGACATCTATTTTCGGACTACTACTCTTAATGAAAATGGAAATAAAATCATTTGCAAAGAAAACCAAATGCTGCCCACATTTCAAATAAAATAAAAAATATTTCCAAATATAAAGCCTATACATTTAAAATACATAACTTGTACATTTTAAATAATGGCCACATTTGAAATAAAAAAATATTGTAAAATTATTTGCAAACAAAAAACCTCAACATCTTTCACAAAAGTTTATATAATCAAAATGGAAAAAATTTCATTTTGACATACAATAAGATAATTACAACCATTTAAAATAAAATGCAACAGATGACCAAATAATTTGTCAAATTTTGTGGCCAGAACATTTTGTTCTACATTGAACAACTTAGATTCAGCAATCCCTAATTTATAAATTACAACATTTGTACCTTTTCAAAACCCTAGTTTCAGCAATCCCTAATTTATAAACTGAAACTCCAAAATTTGAAATGAAAACCATCATTTATGCAATACAAACCTTAATATGGATGTTTGCTGAAGGCCTTCCTCCTTTTGGCGGTGGTGTCACATTGCCCGTTCTTCGTTTTTCGTACAGCTCTCGCAGTGACCTTCGTCTTCTTCGCCTCCTCCGCAGTGCTCTTCGCGTGTCTCTCTTCTTGGCTTCCTTCGCGGTGCTATTTGACAATTTTGAATGCAGAGTGTTTGTGTGTTTCGGACTGTCGTTGGACCAACTGAGTTTTATGCTAAAACAAAACGAAAAAAAAAAAATTAAACTGAAAACGGTTTTACAAAAATCGTATTATAAAACGGTTTTCCAAACATCGTTTTATTTTTTAAAATTAATATTAGCAATCAATATTTATGTTGAAAATATAAATGACAAATTTTTTTTTTTACTAAAAACGTTTTTAGTAAAATTATTTTTAATTAACTCAAATTTAATTATACCTTAAGTAAAAATGAGCCGTTCTCATTGAGCTATTTATTTTTAATTTTTTATTGACTAAAAACGGCATTGGTGAAGCCGTGTTCTGGAAAACGGCTTTGATGGCAATAAAAGAAAAAACACGCCTTAGAGTGGGACTGAAGTTTTGAAAATGGCGTAATCAGGGCAATTGGCCAGAAAATCTGGGCTTGTTTGTTAACTGACAAAGAAGGGCAAGAAAGGGGGTGGACAAAGGTAGAAAGCGATGGGAAATAACAACAAGGGTTTATCAGCAGAGCAGCAGCGTGGTCATGGCGGTGGTAGTAATCAAGAACAAGCTGCCATTATTAACCCCATCAGTCCGAGGCTAGGCGTAGGCCAGCCTCCGGCACCGACTCCGACTCCGGGGTCGAAGCCTGACAAGAATGTGAGCGAAATTCAAACTTGCCATCTGGTTCTGTACTTTAATTTTATTATTATTTTTAATTATCTGTGTATTTCGTTGTTGTTGTGTGTGTGTGTGTGATTTATGATTTTGGATGAAGCAGGGGAAGAAAATCGAATCATTGATGTGTCATCAGTGCCAAAGGAGTGACAGAGGACGGGTTGTTCGGTGCCAGAGGTGTAGAGCCAAAAGATTTTGTGTTACCTGCTTAACCAGATGGTATTAACTTATTACTTTATTTTTTTGTTATTGTTTTTATTCACTCTGACTACATTTTTTTGCAAGGCATTATTATTATTATTATTATTATTATACAGCTTGTTTGGATGGAGTGATATGAAGGAAAAAGAAAAAGAAAATAAAAAATTAATCAGCTGTTTGGATTATTAAGAGGTTAGAAATGAGGGAAATGGAAATAAATGGAGAGAAACTGGTTTAAGTTAAAACTCACTCTATGAATCTCAAAAGTGTAGATATTGGGGCAGAAAAGAAATGGGCCTACTTCTATTTGCATACCCCACATTGTCTCAGTTCACACAATTACTCAGGTTCACATGCACATTATTTAATTTAATTTATTTTTTGATATAAATTTAATTTTTTGTGTTTTTAATCTCCACAGTATTATCCCCAAACTTTCAACCCTATCCCTAACCAATTAGCCACCACCACCTGCCATCCATTGTCACCAGCGCCACCCTTTCCTAACACCCTCCCTTCCACATCACCTCTCCTCAATCCCCTTCCCTCCTCCACCAATCCCTGCCTGGCCCCTTCCCCACCTCCATCACCTCTTCTCCAGCCTCTCTCCTTTCTTATCGCCTCTTCTCATTTGCCACCCCCTGCCCTGCCCTCCCTTGCCAATGTCACCACCTTCAGCTCTCCTTGCCAATGCCACCACCCCAATCCCACAAATTGCAAACAAAGAGAGAGAAAGAATGGGCGGGAAAGCACTGGGATAGGGTGGCAAAGGCTGATGGTGGCGGGGATGGGTGGATGGTAGTGCAATGGTGATTGGAACTGGTGGTTGACATTGGTAATGCTGGCGGCAACAACAGTTTTCAGCAAGGTGAGGAGGGGGTGGCTGATTAGGCTTTCAAGTAGAAGATGATGGGTGTGTGAGAATAGACAGTGAGGATATTTTGAAAATTTGTTTGAGGGACACAATGGTAATTAAAAAATTGAAGAAATGGTATGAATCGAGAAGATATGTGGTGTGCAAATAGGTCCCAGAAATGGGTGGTTACTAACTTTTTATAATACCAAAATTGTCCATGCCAGATACTAAAGAAATAAAAACATAAAAGATTATTTTGATAAAACAACTTGTGTAGTTTTTTGTTCCTTTTTTCTAATATAAATTTTATATGTAGAGAAATCTATATCCTTTCTCTTCTTTTTTCTTTAGCTTAACCAAATAAGAGGGAGAGAAACACAATCTTTTCTTTTATTTTATTTTCTCTCTTAATGTAACAAATAGTTTATGTTCTTTTCTCTCTTGGATTCTCAAATAGATTAAATCCATCCGAAGCATTGAATTTCATTATTTTGGTGCAATTGTTATGGTTATTACTGGTTCTTGTGAACATTTTGAGTTAGATTGATGTAGGACAATGCTAGATTTTGAAAAACAAACGTTATTCGAGGGCCTAAATAGTTAGTAATTTGAGGTTTTAAGGGTTAAATTGAAGATTAGTAGGTAGGGGAAGGGATTAGGGTTGATTTAGGGATGATTGGATAGGGTTTTAACGTTGACAAGTGCACGTTTAGTTGGCTGTGAATAGTAACTTGAGAATAGTAACTAGGGTATGTGCACAAAGAAGAAGAAGAAGAAGAAGAAAGATCTAGGAATCATTCCTAGATTCCCTTAGGTATTACACCTTGAGTTTGATTACATCACACATTCTATAATGAAGCTTCGAAAACTCGAAAAATTCTCTAAAATATCAATTCTATTAAATTGTAAGCAGCACATGACTTTTTGTTTTGTGTTGTCAGATGTGGAGTCTGTGTCACATCTTCTTCCTCATTGCGCTGTGACTTTTTAGCTTTGGGATTTGATTTTTGCAGTGGTTGGTTTGGATTGGGTGCAATAGGGGACTGTGAAGGAGGTGTGATGCAGGCCGAGAGCAGTCTTGGCCTGCATCAAGGTGTGGAGTGGGGGGTCAGGTGGGGAAAGAGGCGTCGGAAAGTTTGGTTTTTGGTGCCTTTGTGTTGTGGATGGCTTGGTTGGAGCGTAATCGGCGATTTTTTCAAGGAATAACAACCCCAGTGCCTTGTTTGAAGAATAAGTTTTTGGTTGCTTTGTCTTGTAAGTTTTTTCATCTTGATGCTTTTTCTAATAAATTTATTCTTTATCTATCGATTATATATATATACATACATATATATCTAGAATTAGGGGACTTTCTAAACCAAATAGAACAAAAAAAAGAAAACTACTAGAACTACGTTGACTTTTAAAACCAATTTAAGACCAAACAAGAAATAGAAATAACAATCAATTAAATAACTTGACCCTTAAGACAATCCATAGGCGTCCTTGCAGCCCATTTCAGCAAATATGAAAATTACCAAAATACCCCTGACCTAAAAATACTAGAAAACATAAAAATAATCATAAAGTAAGACTTTAACAATACTAGAAACTTTATTATATAAGATTTCCTATCAGTTTTTTTATGAAATCATGCCAATGTTCAAATATCTCCACTTCTTTAAATTTAGCCTTTCTTGAGCTTCTTACATTCTGCATCATAGACTATGAATGTGTTGGTTCTTTTTTTGTGTGTTTCTATTGTATTTTGTTTGTTAAAATATGAAGACATGAATGCACGTAAACACAATACGAATGTAGATGTAATCATTTAACAGAGTTCCATGTTAATTGGTGTGTTTCTGGGAAGAGCTTTTAGATGGTATAAGCAGTAACAATTGTTCTTGGGTCTCTAATAAATGTTTGGTAGTGCAACTTTTAATTTATAAAATGCCGTATGTAGTTACCATGAGCTTTCAGAATCATGACTCTTTGTTCAAGTTAAAGTATTTAATTTGGCAAAAAATGGTCTTCTTGGATATTTGAACCAAATTCAACTGCAATCTTTGTTAGTGACTTGTTTATATCTCATTTTTGTCAATATATTGGTGGTTGATTGTCATTATGTGTTCGTCAGTTGGTGTCATTGTTATTAAATTGCTGAGATTTTGAAGGCTTTAGTTAGGATCTTTACGCATGGTTTTTCAATTTTTGGGAGATGATAAAGCGATGTTTGTATCCCTATACCATGACTAGTTTATATTTCATTTTGTTTTTTGGCTTGTACTATAAATGAGTGGTATATTCATCGAATTGATTTGAAATGTTTTTTTATTTTTTATTTTATCTCTACTTATTGAGAACAATTAGACTTGGGCCATTTTCCAAGCTATGGAAAATTGGATTGCTGTTATTTATTGGGAAAATAATGTGACAGTTGTAAATTGGGTAAAATGCTTAAAATTAGTGGCAACTTTTTAAAATTTACAGCAACAATAGAAGAATCAAAAAATTGACAAAAGTAGGGAATCTTGAGACAAAATGACCGAATTGCTCGTCTCTTTCATTTCCTTCTCCAAACAACCCTAGCCACTTCTTTCGCCCTCCTTCACACCATTTCCTCTGCCCTCCCTCACCACCACTTCCCATCCATCCCGAAACTTGTCCACCCCTCCCCTACCCATTATGGTCAACCCCACTGCTCCGTTATCCATTCCCCCACCCACCTCTGCCACCCCTAGACCATCCCCATCCAACTCAACACCCTAGTTGACCCAAACCCTAGCCACTAGAATTGCCTAAACCTCTCTAGCCCCTTCTTGTCGCCACCCCACACCCCCTCTCCCTCACTGCTAAAAAACCAGTAAGGTGCAAGTGGAATATGTGCAGGGTGCAAGTGACAAGTGTGTACAACCCCACACAATTTGCACCCTGCACATATTAGACTTGCACATTGCTGGTTTTAACTACAACAAAGGAAGGGGGTGCGGGGTGACAACGGGGAGTGGCTGAAGGGTTTTAGGTGGTCCTTATGGCCACGTTTTGGGTTGACTAGGATGTTGGGTTAAATGGGGGTGGTAGAGGTGGGTGAGGGAGTAGCGGGGGTGACAAGAATGGATGGGGAAGGGGTGGGGGTAACTAGAATGAATGGGGAAGGAGTGGACGATTGTTGGGGGTGGGTGGGGAAGTGGTGAGGGAGGGTAGAGGACGGGGCTAGGTATAGTTTGGAGAAGAAAATGAAAGATACAAATGGCAATTTGGGTAGCGTTTAGTTTAGTTTTAGAATTATGATTTGAGTGTGAAGTTATATTTTGAGTTTGTAAGTTTTGGAATTATGATTTGAAAAGAGAAATTTCTTTGGTTATGAGTTTTGAAATAAGAAAAGTTGTTTGATTATGAGTTTTGAAAAGAGTTTTCAAAACTTAATTCAAAAACTTATAACTCATAACCACATATACAACTTAAAACTCTATTGAAAATTCTATTCAAAGTTCATAACCAAACTCTTTTTAAAATTCAATTCAAAAAAATAATTATTGAAAAAAATAAATTTTTTATTTAAAAAATTAAAAAAATATCGAAAATATTGTTTTATTTAAAATATTAAAAAAATATATTATTTCTTGTTAAAAAAAACACTCAACTAGTGCTTTAAAAAATATCAAAAACAAATATAATTTTTTTTTTTCAAATAACATGTGCTAATTGCAACAAAAAAAAAATATGTACTATTCCGGTCAACCGGCCGGACATCCGGGAGGACGACCGGGTAGACCAAAAAATTCAAAAACTGTCCGGAAGGATGTCCGGGCGGACCACTAGGTAGACCAAAAATTCAAAAACTCTCTGGTTTACCAAACATGTTTTCAAATATGTTTTGAAATGTGATTTGGAATCATATTTTGAAAATTCTAATCAAACATGGGGTTGGAATCATGATTTGAGAGGTAAACCAAACAGAGCCTTGATCCATCTGTCTCAAGATTTCTTGATTTTGTAATCTTTTTTATTCTTCCATTGTTGCTGTAATTTTTAAAATGTTTCCATTCATTTGTTATATTTTGCCCCATTTACCACCATCACGTTATTTTCCTTTGTTTATTCCATTCAATACAAAACAGGATTGTAGTTCCTATGACAACAGTGATGCACTGGCGGTCATCCATTATTAAAACATTTTGTATTTTTATCTTTCCATTATAAAATGGGAGTTAGTGCTTTAAGGATTATGACCTGCAAAGGGGAGATTTTTTTCGATTTCGTTTAGGGGCTGTGAAATCATTGTGGCTGCTTTTCTATGTGGCCTATGAAGACAACTTTTGAAATTGACGAAACATTTGATTTTTTGAAATTGAAAGGAATTCTTACTTTTATAACTTCCCGAGAAATATGTCACTATCCACATAAACCCTTGATTTCATGATTAACCATACTGAATTTTGTCTTTTATAATATATGAGACTTTGTTTGCAAGAAACTCTTACTGGGAGTGACGTTTCTGCTCTAAAACTGTGATTCGACAGTTCAGAAATGGTATTTAGTTCAGATGATTGTGCACATCTGTGGGCAAGTATCATGATATTGGTACTAATGGACAAGATTTCTGCTCTTTTTCTGTGAATATGTGCCAGGGTATCACAGTTGGTTGTTAATTGTCTTCAAGTGTTCTTTTTTTATAGTTTTTCTTAATTTTTTTCTTAACTGTCTTGTCCTATTATTGAGTACACTTGAGAAGATAGATTTTATGCTTAATGTGGTTGTTTTGGTTGGAGCGGAATCGGTGTGTTTTTCATGAAGTTGCTCGTTTAGTTTCTTGGTTAGAAGATAGATTTTTGCGAGTTCTGTGTGGTTGGGTGTTGGGGTGTGTGGATCCTGATTTGTTTACGTTTTAGCTTTCCTTGATGATGTGATTGGCTTAGTTGTGTTGTTTTTGGTTTCGTTCTTCTATTCTTTAGCATCTCCTTGATGCTCTTTCTTCAATAAATTTTATTTATCATTTTTTTTTTTTTGAGTCAAAAGCTTAGTTGCACGAAGCAGAAGAGGAGGCGGGAGCAGGAGCGAGGAAGCGTGAGCTGAGAGAAGTTTCTTAGGTTAGGAGCATCTCGGGGAGCGGTAATATATATATATATATATTACCGCTCCCCGAGATGCTCCTAACCTAAGAAACTTCTCTCAGCTCACGCTTCCTCGCTCCTGCTCCCGCCTCCTCTTCTGCTTCGTGCAACTAAGCTTTTGACTCAAAAATTTTTTAATTTTTTTATAAATATTTTTATTTTAATACACATTAATTATTTTATTTATTTATTATATTTTTTAAATAATGTGTTATTGTTAATTTATTATTTTTATTTTTAAATGATATAAAATATATATTATATATAAATAAATATATATAACGAATAAAAAATAATAAAATATGTTAAAATAAATAAAAAGAAAAATTAGATATTTTATTTTATATTTTTTTTATTATATATGATTTAATTAGATTTCTTTTAAATAATTAGATGATTTATTTATTTATTATATTTTAAAAAGTTAAGAAATAATAATTTACAAAAATTATTATTATATATGATATTTTAAAAAATAATAATTAGATATTTTATTATATATGATAAAAATTGTAATTTATAAATTTTATTATATATATTAAATATGATAAATTATATTTATTATATATGATCCATTAAAACATAGAGACGAAGAGAGTGAGAACAACGAATAGATTGAGAGACAAAGGGAGAGAGAAGCAGAGACGAAGAGAGAGAGAAGCGCAGAGACGAAGAGAGAGAGAGACGAAGACGATTGAGAGAGTGACGAAGATGATCAAACCCCTCAGAGACAAAGACGATCGTGATCGATAATGAGAGAAGAGAGTGACGAAGACAATCGAAGCTCTAATCCGAGCCCTAAACCAATCCAACTACAAAGCTGCTACCATTGTTCACTCTGTAAGTTTCTCTCAAAAACCTTTCTTCCTCCTCTCATGTCGACATTGAAGGCTAGGGTCTCTCTCTCTCTCTCTCTCTCTCTCTCTCTCTCCCCCCTTTACGATCCCGTCTTGGACTGAATCGCGTTTCTCTTTGCACAGAAATGCGATTCCTACACGTTTCTTTCTAAGAAACGCGGAATCGCGATTCTTACTCAGAATCGCCACCTAGTTGGACGATTCCTGCAACTAAGGTCAAAAGTAATATTTTTTAAAGTCTAAAGGAGGAGAATATGTATAAATTTACTTTGTTTTTGTTTTATCATTAGATTACTAATTATTTTATTCAAACTCGTAATGTGTTTTTATGTGTCTAAGGCCTCGTTTGGAAACATTGAAAAATAGCCTAAAAGTCACTAAAAAAGTCAAAAAGCCAACAAATACCAAATAGTCAAAGATTGATTTCCACTCACTCTCCTAATTACACATCTTTTCGTAAAAAATAAAAAAGTCATTCCAAACATATTAGTTTTTTTCATGTCATATTTTAGCCAAAAAATCAAAAAACTACTAAAAAAACCTGTTCCCAAACGAAGCCTAAGGTGTTGAGAAGTGTCTAAGAAGTGTCGTGTCGCGTTAGTGTCCAACACATTATCTTCTTAGAAGTATCCATGCTTCTTAGATATACACTAATCTCTATTTCAAAATGTAATTATGGGTTGCAAGCAGCAGCTAGTACTTGTGTAGCTAAAAAAGTCTTCTTATTCTCTGATACTTTTCATGTATAATTGCTGTCTTGATTGTTATTAATTCATCAAGCTTATAGGTATCCGGGTATGATGGAGGAGGCAATTGCTGAGGCTTGCCCTTTTTGTCGTGGAAATTGCAATTGCAAAGCATGCTTGCGTTTAGATCGACGTGATGATGTCAGTTTTTTCAGCTCCAGTCATTTCATGCTCTATTGGTGTCTACGATGTCCTTAGCTTTCTAGTTGTTAATAGTATTATGTGCTCTTCATGACTCATTGCAGAACCTGAATAATTCAGAGTGGAATATCAGTTATGATGATAGGATTCGCCACGGCAAGCATTTACTCCATGCGCTTCTTCCATTTCTGAAACAATTCAATCAAGAGCAATTGATGGAGAAGGAAATAGAGGCCAAGGTTCAAGGTACTTCTTTGGTTTAATGTTGCTTGAACTCTATAATTTGTTTCCAAGCAAAGAGAGAAAGAAATCTTGAGGTCACTACAGTATAGTGATTTGCGTAGAATAACGGAATCATGGTTTGTTGATGTGACATGACAACAGAGAAAATATATTATGGACTTAAGATAATATGCACTTTGCTAACGTATATAACATGGATTTGCCATGCTATTTGATTGAAATTTACTATGAAAGTGCTGCTTTTTCTTCTATTTCACTGTATGTGATTCGATTTTGCTGTAAGTTACATATTACTAATCACAGTTTATACTTTTTTTAAAACCAAATTTCAGGGATTACATTTTTATGGATGTTATGTGAAAATTTTGAGGTTACCAATGCTTCTTCCTTGTGGCTCTAACTTTTGTTCTTTTAACTATTATTCTAATCCAAAACTTCTATAAATCAGGTGATTTGAACAGGATGGGTTTATGATGCGCATAGTGAAGGGCTGTATAAACACACCCTTAATGTTTTAATTATTTGCTAATTGGATGTTGGATTTGGCCAGGGCTATCTTTGGCAGCAATAAAATTACAAAAGGCATATTACAATTATGACGAGCGTGTGTGTTGGTAGGTTTTAAGATTTTGTCTTCCTTATATTAAATGTTTCTTAATTTTGAAAATGTTAATGATATCACATTTTTTGCAGCACCTACTGTAAAACTTTTATTGTTGACTTCCACAGAAGCTGTCCAAACTGTTCTTATCTCCTTTGCCTTACTTGTTGTCGGGAGATCCGTGATGGTCACTTGCAGGGAGGTGGTAAGGAAGTAATCTTCCGGTATATTGACAATGGGCGATCTTATCTGCATGGTGGTGATGCATTTCCTGTTTCTTCTAGAAAGGGTGTGATTCAGCACAGTGAAGGAAATAAGCAGCAGCAGGGAAGGAGAAACAAGGGGGGAGAAGAAGCAAAAAAGGGGAAGAAGGGAAAAAAAAGAAAACAGATAGAGAGAGAGGTACACAACAAACTTCATTTTAATTTAATGCCAACATTTCTCTAATAAATCCTTATAGTTATACCAGCCCCTTTTATATGCTTGTTTAATAATCCTAATATAAATCAAATTAAGTAACCAAATCTTGAGAAAACTCTAATAAATAAAATTCTGAAAAAGCTAAGCTTTCAGTCTTTGCCCCATCGATTTCCATCAGGGAGGAGATTTGGATATATCTGTTGGCACAAGCTCCACAGATCATGAAAAGTCAACTTATGAGTGGAAAACAAATAAAAATGGTAGCCTTTGTTGTCCTACAAAGAAAATGGGTGGCTGTGGTCGTCACCTACTAGAGTTGAAGTGCTTGTTTTTTGAAGATTGGGTTTCAGACTTGCTGAAGAAAGCAGAGGATATAGCTAAAATGCACAATCTTTTTGTCATGCCTAGAACTTCCCTGCAACGGTGCTCCTGTTTCAATTCACTGGGTGTCATCAACTTAGGCAGTGGCAAATCATGTAAAGCATCTTGTCAAGAAAATTCCAATGACAACTATCTGTTCTGTCCTTCAGCTAGGGACATTCAAGATGCGGACTTAAAGCATTTCCAGCAGCACTGGGTCAAAGGTGAGCCAGTGATTGTGAGCGATGTGCTTGAACATACATCTGGTTTGAGTTGGGAGCCAATGGTTATGTGGCGTGCATTTAGACAGATGAAACATTCTCAGCATTCTCAGCATTTGGATGTTGTGGCCATTGATTGCTTGGATTGGAGCGAGGTTAGTTCAGGATTTAAATTATTCATTATGGATGAGCATTGAATTATATATATATTTTTTGTGAATGATAACCAATCCGGGTACCTAAAAAACTTATGGCATCCAAGTGATTGTAAAGATGTTTCCCGCCCATCACATTTTCTTCCAAGTTTTTCCAAGAATTTAGATGAAGTTTAGAAAAAGGTATCCTTCGATTTAGGTGGAAGTTATGATAATGCATTATGACAGTTAGGATGTAAAATGAAGAAATTTAGGGTTAGGATTTAGGAAGAAGACGAGATAAGAGAAGAGACAAATTTTATATATCTTGAATAATAATAATATCCTCTACTCTGCATCAGCAAAATATATATACAAACCGTAACATTGCAATATGACCATCGTACCCTCAATTTCTGTAAATATTAACAGAAGAACAAGAGAACAAAAATAACCATTCTAACACTCTCCCTCAAGCTGGAGCATAGAGATCAAACATGCCCAGCTTGATGGATAAATGATGAAACGAAGGCCGAGCCAAAGGCTTGGTAAGAATATCACACAATTGATCTTCAGAACGAACATAAGGAGTCACGAGTTGCTTGCGCAGTAAGAGATCACGAATAAAATGGCAATCAACTTCTATATGTTTGGTTCATTCATGAAATGTCGGACAATGAAGATAGTAGCCTGATTGTCACAAGATGCTCATAGGAGTGGGAATAGAAAAGCCAAAATTCTGGAGAAGAGACTGAACCCAGAGCATTTCAGAAGCAGTATGAGCCATGGCACGGTACTCAGCCTCGATACTAGAACAAGCAACAACAGTCTGTTTCTTGCTACGTCAAGTAACAAGATTACCACCAACAAAGGTACAAAAGGGATGTAATCGGTTCGGTACGGTTAAAGTTTAGGAAAAAAATTATACCGAACCGATAATGTCGGTTTTATTATTTTGAATACCGATACAGACTGCTTCTTCCATCAAATCGCATCGAATTGAATCGATTGAAATGGTATGGTTTGGTGCGGTTTTATCGGTCTAAGATCTTTCAAACTTGAACCACTTTTAAATATAATTACTAATCTATATAAAAACATTAAATTAGTTATTTGTCTACCATTTCAAACATATCAAATCCATCCATTTAATAAATACTTTTCAATTCCTAGATTAACAAAATAAAAAAAAATAAAAAAGTTAAAAAATACTAAGATTTCAGGAATAATGAGTTAAGATTAAATATAATAACTTAATAAGAGTTTACAAACTTAGGTTATAAAGATAATAAGGTTAATTAATTAAGGCTAATAATTTATTATACTTATTAATATCATTATATTATTAGATTATATATATTATAAATACAATATATGTTGAAGCGGTCTGTTTTAGTTTAGTTCGGCGCACAAGGTGCTTGAACCGATACCGAGCCAAAAATTGAAAAAATCAAATTTAAAAACTGCACAAATAGATTCTTGTTAAAAAAAGATCAAATATAGTCAGTTTGGTTGGTTTTTTTGATTTTTCTTACATCTGTAGGTACAATAGCCTAAGGTGGAATGTCGGCATTACCAAAGCTAGTGACAATGAGGAAGATGGTCGATAGAGCAAACCCGACCTGGAGCACTTTTCAAGTATTGCAAGATACAACACAGCCGCAAAATGGGGTTGGCAGGGAGTATGCATAAATTGACTGACCACACTCACAGCATACGTAATATTTGGATCCTAACCAACCGACGATAATGACCAATATCAGGAAATAAGTCCCCGGTTTCACTATTAAGCTCGACGCTAGAATCCATGGGAGTATCACTAGGGTGAGTGCCTAAGAGACCAGTCTCAGTGAGAAGATCAAGAACATACTTCCGTTAGGAGAGAAACAAACTTTGAGAAGAGCGAGCAACTTCAATCCCAAGAAAATATCGAAGATGGCCTAAGTCTTTAGTGTGAAATTGTTGGCCCAAATATTGCTTCAAATCAGCAATACTAGTGGAGTCGTTCCCAAAAATGATTGTCATCCACATAGACAATAACAATAATATTCGTAGTAGACGAGTGGCGAACAAAAACAGAGTGATCAAATGTGGACTAAGAAGCACGGACATGGACACGGGATACGACAATTTCTAAAAAATGGGGACACGGAAACGGTGGGGGACATGGCGAATTTTATTTTATTTATTTTTATGTGTTATGTAGATTCATATTACATTCATCCTACATCAAAATTAAAAAATACTAACATAGTAACATTAATTCAATAAATATAACCATTACATTTAAATAAATTAATAGATCACCTATTCATGAAAAAGTCATAATAAACGATAATAAGAACTAAGATGAGAAGGGGAAAACATTCAACATCCAACAATATTGTTCACAAAAGTACTAAATAAGAGAGGCAAAACAGAGGAGAGAAAAAAAAAGAAAAAAAAGTGAGCCCCATCATGTCACATGCCGTGTCCCTGCCATGTCCCCTACAAAAAAATCATTAAATTAAAGGGACACGCCATCTGGCGTGTCCCGTACGTGTCCCCGGCGTGTCCGCATATCGGACACCGCCACGGCACTGATTTTAGAGTGTCCATGCTTCATAGAATGTGGAACGGTGAAACCCAAAGGCAAGCACAACAACAATGAAGTGAACAAACCAGGCACGAGGGGACTGCTTGAGACCATACAAGGCCTTTCGCAATCGACAAACAAAATGGTCTTGACCGGGAACAACATAGCCAGTGGGCTGATCCATATAGACCTCCTCTTGGAGATCACCATGAAAAAAGGCATTCTTGATATCAAGTTGATATAAAGGCCAAGACTTATTAACTGCAACGGAGAGAAGAATCCGAACAAAGTTTAGACGAGCCACAAGAGACAGAGTCTCTAGGTAATTAACACCATAGGTCTCTGTGTAGCCTTTGGCTACTAGGCGAGCCTTAAGCCGCTCAACAGTCCCATCAGGGAGATACTTGATAGTATAAATTCAACGACAACCCACAATAGATTTGCCAGACGGCGGAGGGGTAAGTTTCCACGTCTGATTCTTATGAAGGGCATGCATTTCCTCGTCCATTACATGCTTCCAACCAGAGATGGATATAGCCTACTGAAAAAAGCGGGAAATGAAAATACTAGACAAGCTAAAAGCAAAAGAGTGAAGACCAAGAGAGAGGTGATCATAAGGAACAAAATTAGCAATAGGATGTTGAGTGCAAGTACATTTACCTTTGTTGATTGCAATAGCAAGGTCATTAGAGGGCATATCGGCAGATGGAACAGGGGAGACAGGAACCTCAGACGAAGGAGATGAACTAGTCGGGTCATAAGGCACAATGCGACGAGCTTAAGACCACTAATAAACCTACGAAGGAGGGGTAAAGGCAAGACGATAGGGAGATGATATAGAAGTGGAGGAAGGAACACAAGAAGGAAGAAGTAGGGGTGAGAGAGGCTGGCTGCCCCTCACGACAAGAGAGAAGATCAGTGGTTAACTGTCGCTCAGAGGAAGAAAAAAAAAGGAGTGGACTAAAAAAAGGTTATATCAGCACTGACAAAGTACCGATGTGACTCAAGATGATAACACCAGTACCCTTTTTGAGTACAAGAATAGCTTAAGAACGCACATTTGCAAGCACGAGAAGATAACTTATCCAAACCGGGGTTAAGAACATGGACAAAGGTCACACAACCAAAAACACGAGGCGACAAGAGAAACGAAGACAATTTGGGATATAATAGAGAATAGGGGGACGTGTGCACGACACTAGAAGGCATGCGGTTAATAAGCAAACAAGCGGTAAGAACATCACCCCAAAACTGTTTGGGAACATGTGTGCGAGCAACATCTAACAAATGGCGGTGTTTCCGCTCCGCAATACTATTTTGAGGAGATGTATGAGAACAACTAGTTTGATGAATAATACCACGAGCATCACAAAAGGGATTCACAATAGACTGAACATATTCTAAGGCATTATCAGATCAAAATATCTTAACACATTTTCCAAATTGAGTAAAGATTTCATTATAAAACTTAGCGATGATCAAAGGCAAGTCAGATCTTTGTTTCATTAAAAACCAAGTCATCCGAGAGTAATCATCCACAAAAATAACAAAATGAAAAAAAAAACCATTAACAGTGGAAGTTCTAGAAGGACCCTAGATATCTGTATGGACAACAACAAATGACTCAGACACACGACTAACACTACGACTAGAAAAAGAACTACGGTGATGCTTTCCAATTGACAGGCTTCACACTCAATTTGAGAAACATGACTCAAACAAGGAACAACTAACTTGAGCTTGGACAATGAGGGATGACCCAAGCGAAAATGCCATAGAAGAGGAGATATAGTAGCACTTAACACAGCAGATGGAGCGTTAGGAGAGGTCTCCGTGTCCAAAAAGTATAAGCCATCCTTCTCATGCCCTGAATCAATCATCCTCTTGGTCTGGAGGTCTTGCAAAACACATGAAATGGGAGAAAAGGTTGTCGAACAGTGGAGAGATTGAGTCAATTGGCTAACAGGAAGGAAATTAAATAGAAACTTAGGAACATAAAGACCCAAAGGTAAAGAAACGGATGGAGTGGGGTGAAGAGGACCTTGATCACTGACAGGTCGAGAAGATCCATCAGCAAATATAATAGGATGATCAACAGGTCTAAGAGTATCAAAAAGAGGGGAATTACCAGAGATATGGGAACTAGCACCAGAGTTTAGGAGCCAAGGCTGAGTGGACTTAGCCACACATGCAATATTAACTAAACTAGCCATAGTAGCAGTAAAGGATGAATGTAGACTAGGCCGGAGGGACTGGATAACAGCGGTAAGCTCACTAATCTGAATAGTGAGTGTCTTATGAGATTCAACTAGAGGAGCAACAGAACTAGTGGAAAACAAGGATGACAGTGAGGATGGAGCATTCATTACCTGATGTACATGGTCAGGTTTACCATACTTCTGCCAATACCAAGGTTCAATATGCCTTAGGAACCACAATGAGTACA